TCAGTAGAAAAAGAAAGATATGAAAAAAACAAAACTGAAAATCATTTGAAAAAAGAATAATTAGATAAACGTATGAGTTACTAAACAGAATAAAAATAAAAAGTAATAAATTAATATATTATAAATAGATTAAAGAAAAAAATGATAAAGAAAAAGAAGAATAATTGAAGAGAATTTTAGAAGAAAAAAATAAATAGGAAAAAGAAATTCAAATGAAAAAGCACAATTTTTAAGAATTTAATTAAAAATAAATAAAAAAATTAAAAGAAATAATATCATAAGGATAAAATAAATAATAATAATCAGAAAAAGAAAAATAAGATCAGTTAAAAAAATAATAATAATAATTATAATAAGCAAGATAAAAAATATAAACACAGAATTAGTCAAGAATCTAAGAATAAAAGACTTTAGAAAAAGAGATAGAGAATAAATTTAAATAAACATCATACTAGAAAATAATAGAGAAATATTAGTTTGGATTAAATTGTTTATTCTAATTTTTAATCAAAGAAACTTTTCTACCAATTGGTCAACCATCTTCAAGAGAATAAATTAGTTTTAAAACGTTTGCTTGGTTTACTGATAGGTTTAATTTATGTCCAGAAATTGTATCTAAAGATGATGTACTTTAACTTTTTAGATATTTAACTAAATCAAAAGAAGTTATTGATGGGATACCACCAGGAATGAATTACGATGATTTTTTATAGGCTTTACATAGAATTTCTATTAAAGGAAGTACTATATTTAATAAAGTTGCTTTGAATGTAAAATCATAATAAGGAAAACTTGATATCAAATAAATTAAATAGATAGTTGAAGCTGAACAAATTGTTGATTAAGAACCATAAAGCCATTCACCAAAGGCAGAATCCATAGTGGCTGATACTCCTTTAAGAAATAAATCTAAATCTAATTATATTGAGTCATCTAAAGTTTTGAAAGAATATTAACTATTTTTCCAATAATCAAATGAATCAACATTTGAATCATTAATTTTATATTTAGATGTGAGCAATGATAAAAATTAATTAGATTAAAGATTTAGAAAAACATTAGAGGAAAAAAAAGTACCAACTAAATTGAGAAAAAAAGGTACTAATTATATTTAATTTTAGTTTTGAATGAAAAGCTTGGAATTTAGAATTGATTTAATACAATTTTATTAAGTGATAATTATACACATTTTTTAGTTATAAATTAGCATTAAATATTAAAATTATAAACATAACAATCAAATGATAATTTCTATATTTTAAATTAAACTTATATTGTTAATAATGTTATTAAAGTATTAATACAACAATTTATTTAAACTCTCAAATAAACATAATGCAATAAGTATAATTGCATTTTCTCTATAGTTTAAAATTATTATATAAGTAATTAAATATTGGAATATAAATATTAAGATACTTATTTATTCATAAAATAGATATGCTTCAATTCAAAATAAAAATTAATTATAATATTAAATTTCAAGAAAATTAACTTCAAAGAACATATCTATCTACTAATTTATAGATAAATAAATTTTTTGATAGAATAAAAATAGAATTTTCAATAAAGGTAATTTTTCTAATTAAGTATCTTTATAATTAATAATATATCATTTCAAAAGGATTAATTACAGATAAAATTAATGATTTTCCTCTAGATTGAAATAAGTATTACATATAAAGAATGAAAGTTTTTTGATTTTATCTATTATACTATTCTATTAAAGAATAAATATACTCAACATCTCCTTATATAGTATAATGATTGATTCAAATATAAAAATGATAAAAGTCCTAAAAATTACGATGCTTCTAGTAATAAGGCTTGATTGATTGAAATGAAAAATGAATAAAAAAAACGGATTTATATTAGTTATTAATTAAATTACCATGAAGTTGGTCATCTTGATTCTGATTTTAACAATAATTAGTACCGAAGCTCAAACATCACTTAGAGGGAAGAACAAATTTGGTATGGTTGGCCATAATTAAGACTAGAGTAGAACGATGAATTAATATAAATGAATAATGAATATACACCTGAACTACAAGAATATTCATTATTTGTGCAATTAACCAAGCCTTTATATGACACAGCACCGATGGATGTTATGCTGCTAAACCATGAAATAGAAATAGCTAGAATGATGGGTACTCCAGGAGTAACAATGATGAATTATGTACTTGAAGAATCACCCTTTAGTCCTGCTTGGTGACTAATGTAACAGGACTTCATTTGATGTTTCCTATTTCATATAGAATCAATATAGTAAAACAACCATATTTTCAAATTGCATTAAAGTCAGTTTATAATAATATTTACTTACTTAAGCAAAGAATAAATGATTCTACATATATTATCTACTGTATATTCACTAATCAATATCAATTAAATAAGTTAAATAGTTTAAGACTAATTAAATGAATTATCAATAAAATTTAAATAATCATAAGACACAGTTATAGTTGTATTTTAGGATATCTAATTACTATATATAAATATTCATAAAAAAGACATTAAGAATAGTTCAAAAATTGNCAACAATTTATTTAAACTCTCAAATAAACATAATGCAATAAGTATAATTGCATTTTCTCTATAGTTTAAAATTATTATATAAGTAATTAAATATTGGAATATAAATATTAAGATACTTATTTATTCATAAAATAGATATGCTTCAATTCAAAATAAAAATTAATTATAATATTAAATTTCAAGAAAATTAACTTCAAAGAACATATCTATCTACTAATTTATAGATAAATAAATTTTTTGATAGAATAAAAATAGAATTTTCAATAAAGGTAATTTTTCTAATTAAGTATCTTTATAATTAATAATATATCATTTCAAAAGGATTAATTACAGATAAAATTAATGATTTTCCTCTAGATTGAAATAAGTATTACATATAAAGAATGAAAGTTTTTTGATTTTATCTATTATACTATTCTATTAAAGAATAAATATACTCAACATCTCCTTATATAGTATAATGATTGATTCAAATATAAAAATGATAAAAGTCCTAAAAATTACGATGCTTCTAGTAATAAGGCTTGATTGATTGAAATGAAAAATGAATAAAAAAAACGGATTTATATTAGTTATTAATTAAATTACCATGAAGTTGGTCATCTTGATTCTGATTTTAACAATAATTAGTACCGAAGCTCAAACATCACTTAGAGGGAAGAACAAATTTGGTATGGTTGGCCATAATTAAGACTAGAGTAGAACGATGAATTAATATAAATGAATAATGAATATACACCTGAACTACAAGAATATTCATTATTTGTGCAATTAACCAAGCCTTTATATGACACAGCACCGATGGATGTTATGCTGCTAAACCATGAAATAGAAATAGCTAGAATGATGGGTACTCCAGGAGTAACAATGATGAATTATGTACTTGAAGAATCACCCTTTAGTCCTGCTTGGTGACTAATGTAACAGGACTTCATTTGATGTTTCCTATTTCATATAGAATCAATATAGTAAAACAACCATATTTTCAAATTGCATTAAAGTCAGTTTATAATAATATTTACTTACTTAAGCAAAGAATAAATGATTCTACATATATTATCTACTGTATATTCACTAATCAATATCAATTAAATAAGTTAAATAGTTTAAGACTAATTAAATGAATTATCAATAAAATTTAAATAATCATAAGACACAGTTATAGTTGTATTTTAGGATATCTAATTACTATATATAAATATTCATAAAAAAGACATTAAGAATAGTTCAAAAATTGTTTTATATTTAATTAATAATATGTTCTTAAATTAAGTTGGAAAAAGTAAGCAAAGGGATTGAATTCAACGCTTTTTCTAAAAATAATAAAACCAAACTTAATCAATTTTATACCTGTAATTATTTATTTTATTAGTTTTATTACTAAAATTTAGTAAATTATAAAAGCTATAATTAAAGTGCATTGAATAAGTTATTGAAACTTAATCTCTAGAATTGAAATATATTTTAGATATATGAATATTTATTTAGTAAATAAAAGTAAGAAAAGATTTTGAATTTAGAAAAAGTGACTTTACAAATTTTTATATTAATATATATGTGCCTAGTCTTATTAATGATTATAGTTATATAATTTTTTTTTGTTTTTTGTGTGTATATATTGAATATTTAAAATGAATAATAATATAAGAAAATAGTTAAGAGAGATGAATAAAGGAATTGATAAAAAGAGAACTTCTTCATTTAATAAATAAACAATCAATTACACTAATGATAAATGTGATACTTAATAAAAGAAATTTTATTGTCCAAAATCAAAGAAAGATGTTAAAAATATGATAAGTGATAATAAATTAAAATCCTCATATGAGAATACAACTATGATGATGGCATAAAATGTATCATTGAAAAATGTTTTAAATGAATTGGTTCATAAATCTGCAAAGAACTATGTAAAACAACACATGAAAAAAACACCAAGCACTTCTTTACATACTCCTGCTGACTTTACCATTAGAAAAACTGAATAGTAATCATACTTAATGAAGCAATAGTAATCAGTTATACATTAACAATCCTAATAAACTTCGTATAGATCTTTGTTGTAGCACAATAAGCGGAATTAATGGATTGATCTAATTAATCAAAAGAGTTCAAATTATATATAATCAGATGAAATATCAATTATAGAATATAAGTAAAAATAAATTAAATATTAGAACTTAATTGGATATGATGACAACAAATAATTTGGATTGGAAACATCCATATACAAGTTATAAAGATTAAAGAAATCATAAAGAAGTATCTCATATAGACAATTTAGAATTTGAATGTTGGAAAGAATTATTAATGAATCGATTAATAATACGCTAAGCTAAATGAATGTAAATAAAAAATAATTAATTTTGGATCAACTTATTATGAATTATTTAAAAGAATTTTTATTCTGATATATTGTAATATATAATATTTCTCAAATCCCCAATTTAAAATAAAATTTTTAAATAATTAAATGTCTGACGACGAAAATCAATTCGAACAAGGAAATGCCGGATCATCCCATACCTACACAGAAAGTGCAGGATCATTAAAGAAAGGAGGATACGTCATGCTTAAAGGACATCCTTGCAAGATTACTGATGTTTCAACATCTAAAGCAGGAAAGCATGGTCATGCTAAAGTAATTTTATTATTTACATATTTAGGCATCCATTGTTGGAAAAGATATCTTCACAAACAAAACTTATGAAGATTCAGCACCAACATCTCACAATATTGATGTTCCATTTGTTACTAAAAAGGAATATACTTTGATGGATATTCAAGCTGATGGCTTTGTCATTCTTATGAATGAAGATGGATCAACAAAAGAAGATCTTAAATTACCTGAAACTGAAGATGATTTCAACTTGGTTAAAGAAATTAGAGATTAATTTGATGCTGGAAAGTATATATTCATATTTATATTCAGGGATTTGTTGATTGCTGTCCTTTCAGCTATGGGAGAAGAGAAGATTGTTAGTTGCAGAGAAGCTTAAGATAAATGATTTACATTAAATACATTAGTAAATATTTTATTGTAAATATAAATATATATATATTATCATTCATTTGCCACATCTTTGAAAAAGGGATGCTTCAGAGCATCTTTAGCACTAATTCTCTTTTCAGGATTATATTACAACATTTAACTAGAAATCATATCTATATCATACTTTAATAAATCTAAATAATTATCTAAATCTTTAATTTAACTAAATTTATCTCTGAGATTTTATTTTTTATATCTAGAGAGTTCTTTAAATATAGTTTTATTATCAAAAGGAACTTTGTTTATGAAGTATTCCATATCGTTTGAATTAAAACTACCCATCACCTTTAATATTGCAAATAATTGATCTCCTTCACTTTTCCCTTTAAAAAGCGCTTCTTTTATTACTAATTCTCCCATAATACAACCTAATGCCCAAATATCTACTGAAACTCCATATTTAGTTAAACATAATATTAATTCTGGGGCACGATAATAACGAGAAACTATATATGGAGTATTTTGACCTTGAGAAGTAATTAATTTAGAACTTCCAAAATCACATAATTTAACTACTTCATTCTAATTTATCAGAACATTCTCACTATTGATTTAAGTATTACTTTTACGGTTTTAAATCGCGATGGACAATTCCTTTTTTATGAATGAATTGTAATCCTTTTAGAATCTAATATATGTATGATTTTATAGTCAATTCTGAAAATGTCTTTCCTTATTTAATAAATGTTTAAATTCTATTTTCAAGATTATCATCCATATATTCGAATACAATATTTTGAATTAATTTCCCTGAATCAGTTCTTGAATAGAAAAAATCCTTGATTTAGATGATATTCATACAAGTATTTTAACTATATGTTCACATTCCTTTACTTCAAATAAAATTTCATATTCTCTACTAAGTTGATTTCCAACTTTTTCAATTCTCTTTAAAGCAACTTTTTATTTTCTATTATGATCATAAGCCTCAAAAACATAACCTAATTATTTAAAATATTTACCAAAACTTCCTGAACCAGCAACTCTTATAATGTCAAATGATGGTAATTTTTAGTGTGTGAAACTCATATTATTTAATTTAATAATTCTATTTTATTTTTTAGAATTCATAGAATAAGTTACTTAAAAATAGTAAAGAATTGTAATGTTCATAATATAAATAAAAAAGAAAATCATTTTAATTTATGTTCATACCATTTCCTCAAATGTAAGGATTATTGTTTTACTAAATAATTAAAAGTGTATTTTCCAGTTTCTTTGTATCTATTTCTATATTATTTTGTATTATTTATTAATTCAAGATTTTTAATTACATTATGAAAATTATTGTGTTGCATATAATCTTGATAAATTTTGATCTAATCTATGTTGATGTGATGGAATTGTAATTTAGTTTCAAACTCTTAAAGCATATCTTTATTTTATTCTTTATAATAAGATTCTTCACCTTAAATTAGAAATTTGGAAGGAGTAGTTTTTTTTCTTTCAAAATTTTCTTTAGATGGTAAAATTTAAATATGTTTATCAGATGGGAGCATATCTTTTTCTGATATTACAGTATTTGAAATTGAAATCATTTAATGAGGTTTTTTAATTGATTTTTTCCTATAATTTATACGACTATTATAATCAGGAGACATATATCTAGATTATTCATCTTCTGAATTAATTTAACATTCAGATTAAAATTTATTAAGAGAATCTTAAATTGTAGCTAACATTCTTCTTGTATTTATTTTATCACCTTTTCTATGATAACCCATTCTTTTTTATGGATTCTTATTGATAGATTATTTCTTTATCATTCCTTCAAGATCAGGTTGATAAGTGAGTAATGGACAATTAATATTAAGATGTGAACTTCTATTACATTGATTACAATTAAGTAATATAGAATTATAATTTGAATACAAAAGAATCTTATCTTTGATATGATTAAATCTTTCCATATCTTTTTTTTCATCTTTAATTAATTTTAAAAAATTGGATCTATGAATCTATACTACTTCACTTTGGGTTCTACTAAAAGCACAAGTTTTAGTAGGAAATCCTGTAAAAAATTAATATTCTCCAAATGTCTATCCTTTTGTCAATGTTTATATAACTTATTAGCTTTGTTCTTCACAAATATCAATAATTCCTTCTTTTACGAAATATCTCTAAATATTTAATAAGTATTACAAGGATTAATCATCAATTTCATATTAATGATAAATATATTCTTCTGGTTAAAACAATAATCGATTCATTTTCTATGTCAATGCTTATTGGGTAATTTTAGAAAATTGATCTGAAAATAATTTAATAGATTTGAGTATTTTTTCAGATATATTTTAATTCAATTCAAATCTTAAACCTTTTGGTAATTCAGAAATAGTTTTATTTATAAATTCAATCTTTTCATAATTCATATTAGCCATTTTATGTTTCAAATAATTTCGAATTCTAATCTGTAATGAAAGATCAACCTAATTATGATTCATGTAATTATTCAATTGCAATATTGACCTTCTAAATTTTGTATAAATTTAAATACTTACTTTTAATTCTTATTTTATTCATATAGATTTCTAAGTATAATCCCTATTGAATTCATAGAATAAGCAAATAAAAAACTAGAAAGCAACATCATTAAATTAACAAATAACATTTCTCCTTAATTTTCAGGAGTTATATCACCATATCCAACAGTAGTTATTGTCATAGTTGCCCAATAAAATGATGTATTATATCTAATCCATACTTATTCATGTCTTATTTATCTTTAAATTAACCAAGTTAATTCATATTCTTCAGTAATTACACCTATATAATGAAATAAACAAGCCATAAAATGAGCAAAGAAATATATTGATAAAATTAGAGTTAATAAATCAGCTGCATTACTTAAAGTATGTTTTAAATAAATATTCTCCATTTTAGTATTAGTTCTCTTTAACTTTATAAGTACTATTATATTTTATAAAATCAATAATATTTATTTGGATGAACTGAATTCCTTCAAAATATTTGGATAAATACCAATCCATAACATCAATGACACAATCTCTAAGACTGCTTGATTGTTTAAATATTACAATATAATTTACTTTCTATCAACTATTACTTCTCCTTATTCTATATAAGCTCTATTTATTGCCAAAATATTATCAATTATCAAATGTGTTATAAGTCCTATTATTATTTTTGGAAATGAGTATTCATCAAATGAAAAGCTTAATAGAAATGGACAAATCCATAGAGCTAGAATACTTGCTAATAATGTTATTAAATCCCAAAAATACAAAAAAGGGTTTTGGGGTAATAATATTGCTGATTTTAATTTAGATTAACCATATTCTATCTATTTATATCATAATAAATACTCTATAAAAATCTAAATATTTGAGGTTAAATATATTTTTCTTAAGATAAGATTTTTGTTTTTAAAGCATTAGAAAGTATATATGAGTTCAAAAACAAATTTTATTTGAATTTTTATATTAATCTATTTTTTCTTACAAGTCTCATAAATGCTTCATTTTCATCTATTTTAGGAGGTATCTTTTACTCTAACTTAGGCTAATTATTTTAGGATGTATTTATTATTCTTGTTAATCTCTATAACCTTTGTTTACTTACAAAATAACGATTAGTTTAAATATGAGGACTTTCTATTGATCTCATAGATTCTTATGATTCCAATTGTTGTTTCTAATATTAAGTTAAATCAGGAATTTGAGTAATTTAAGGGCCAAAGATCTGTTATTCTAACTTAATTTGATCTTCATTCATTTATAATTAAAGTTATATTTATATTATTGCAAAATAATAGATAAAAATAACAAATTAAACAATCTTCATAAATCAAAAATAACCTCAATTTATTTTCAATTTCAAATCTCTTCCAAAATACGAATATTTATTATATTATTTTTAATAATTCATTTTCAACTTTTATCCAATATAATAAATGGGCTGCTCTATAAGAAAAGCGAAACCAAGAAAAATAGAAGATATAGATTAAATAGAACAAATGATATAATCAGATTGTTTAGGTATGGACTAAAAATTTGTTCTTATCAAAAATCCAATAATTATTAGAAGAAATTGTAGTAAAGAAAAGCAAAAATTATCAGATTCAAAACAAATATGATTATTTTCTTTATATTCTTATCTTTCTGTTTAGATAAAATACAATTTAAATTCAAAATATTATACTTAACAATAACTTTAACATCTAAAATCAATAACATTCATCAAGAATATTCAACATAAAAATATACATTATAACCCTTAAAACACATTAATTCACTGTTGAAATTCATCCTTAGATTCATAGTATTTATCACTAATGTTCTTATTTTAACAATCAACAAATTTTTATTTTTTAATACAAATATTCAATCTTAACACTCTTCCTTTTTTGAAACTCAAATAATAATAGATAAGCCATAAATTAATAATCAGAGTAGTTTAGTTTATCTCTATAATTTTCACAATAACTATATAAGATTTAAATCAATTCTTATTTGTGTATATGTATTTTAGTAATATTAATTATATGATTCTTATTCCTATACTATTTTATGCATATAAAGATATTGATAATATATTTTTACTATTAAATGATTTTGGATATTTTAATATGTAAATTATTTAAAAAACATAAATTATTCTAATATAATTTATGCTTAAATCGATTCTAAGAGTTTCATATAAGATCGGAATGAATTCATGTACCCTTTTATAATAATTAAGAATTACAGTAATTACCTGTTTATTCATCAGCTATTTAAGCTTTATTTTCGAATGAATATGCTTAGGCTTAAGAATATTTATTTTAATTAAAATAATAAGTAGAAAACTTATAGGACCCAAATGCATCTTAAGAAGTTTTGGATTTATTTGTTCAATTATATAAACAAACAAAAAATTATAAAGATTTAATATCGATATAGGAAGAATAATTTTTTACTTATTTGTCTATGAATTCTATTTATAATGAAGATAATTCAGAATCGTTAAAAGAGTTGTTTAGATCTTATATTGAATATGATCCAAAGAGAGGCTAAGCTATGTTATCATTTTTATAAGAAAAAGTTGATGAAATCATTCCACTTGGATTTTAGAAAGAATTTTACACATATGCAGGAGTAAATATTCAAAATATTTTTAGACTTTAGAATTGCTTAATAAAAATTATGAAAATTCATAAAAATTATTGACAAATGCATAGGAGTCAGGAGTAAAAGGTAATTTAGCAGGTATATATAATTAATAATTAAAGGGATGTGTTTGAATAATTAAGTAATTTTATCTGAACTTAATTTGGAAGGGGAAATATAGAAATTAAAAGGAGATTTTGATGCCTTTTGTTAATAGAATATTAAGAATCTATTAGATGCTATTATATCATTTGAATTGACTTCAGTAGAGGAGAATAAGAAAGAATTATATTATTTATATAAATTAATTGAATAAACTGAAGTAATTATTTAATTAAAAATAGTCATACATTGATAAAAAAGAAATAAATGCTATAATAAATGGAACATAAATAGTAAATCCTAATTCTTATTCAGTAATATTTAATTTAATAGATTTATTAATTAATCACTAATTTCCAGATGTAAAAATTTATTATTTGATTATAATAGAAAGCCACAGCTTGGATCAAAGTTGTTTTTAAGAATAAGACACAAAATCCAAATATAAATATTATGAATTTTGGAAGATCATTATTGTAATATGCCAAAATTTCAGTGATTGACAATAAGATTAATTAGGCTGAGACAGTTTTACTTGATTTTTTGAATTCTTAACAACCTAGACTATCTTTTTTATAAATGATGGGTTTAACATAATATAGTCTTTTGTTAAAATAGGAAAATAGACAATATGAGGCAGATTGTAATTTAAATATTTTATATATTAGAATATGAAAAATAAGCATTAAATATTTCATCTAAGATTAGTCCGACATCATATATTAGAGAGTAAATTATATTATTATGAGTTTATAGATTATAATAACAATTAAAAATGTGTTAATAGTATATTAAATAATACAAAATTATAAAAGTATCAATCAATAAAATATAATATTTAATTGATATGAACTAATATTTAGTTTAAAAAACCCATTCTACTTTTATTTTTCTTTTGTATTTCTTGTTTTCTTTTAATAAAGCTATGTTGATAAAAGTCAGTAAGCTTAATTAAATCATATATATAATATCCAATTAATGATTTATAAAGTAACAAGAAATCTGAATGCTAAGGATTCCATAGATCACATTATCCCCAAGGATATTGTCTTCCTTAAATCTTTTTTCCTTATTCATTATAATATTCATATGTAGAAGCAATAATCATGAAAGGAGAACACTATCCAAATTCTCCATATTTGAGTTATTATTTAAATGATTCATCATTAATTTTGAGACAATCATAGAGATCAATTTTGAATTCTTTAAAGATTCTATTATATCTTTATTTTAATTCAAGAACTTCAGATTTTGTATATTAATCACCTCTAGCCAAAATTGGAATAACGTTTACTAAATTGGATAACTTTTGTAAATATTATATATCTTCATTAAATTATGTTGGTCCACTTAGAAAATAAAAACATAAGTGAATCTATAGAATAATGTAATAATTGTTTACTCTTTCGTCATTTAGTAAATTAGACATTTAAGAATATAAAGTTTTGTTAAGATAAGCATACTTATTTCTTCTGATTTATGTTTTAAACTTAAATAAAGAATTCAAAATACCTTTTAATCTATTAAATGTCTAATATCCTTAAACCATTCTTTTTAGTTATTTTTTTAAAAACCTTTTGCATCAAATATGTTTAAATAAACAATTTGGTTATCATATTCAATGATGCCCATTGATTCTTATACTTTGTTAGTTTCAGATGTATTCCCCTCATATTATCTTGAAATTGGTTTCTATATATTGGATTTTTTAGGATTATTACTTTATTTAGTAAAGCATCTACAAAAGTTGATTTTCCTGTTCCAGATTATCCAGCAATCAATAAGTTTAATGTGACTTAATTCTTTTACTATCCACAATCAAGTGAAAATTGATTTTTGTCAATGTAAGATTAAGTATATGAGCTTAAAACTAATGGATCTTAGAATTCTTTAATATCAATTTTTGCACTTGGTATCCTTATTTCTTCTTATGAAGAGATAGGAAAAATAGATTTCCTTCAAGATTATTTCAAATGTTACGTAGTATGACTGTTATCAAAGTCAATTTTTTTACAATGGCTTTATGTAAATAAGAAACGTTATTACCTCTAATTACATAAGAGTTAATCTTTTGTAATAGAGTTTTATGGAATTGGAGATGGACTTGATAATAGATCAATCATTTTTATTGTGTTTTATTTTATTTTCAAAATAACAATCACATTATAAAAATTACATAAATGGATAGAAATCTATGATAATAAAATTCGGTTTATTTTCTAGATAATACATATTAAATAAAATATTTGATGAGATACAAAAAACTGATAATAAATTAAAAATGAATAATAAGTATTTGATATAATATAAAATAATAGAAAAAAAAAAGAAATGAATATTGTAAGTAAATAAATAATTAATAATGAATTAATAAGATAATTTAATTTAAAAAAAAATATATATATATATATAAATTGTATTTATAATATCAATAATTTCTAATTCGTTTTATTGTTGATTATTATTTATCAATAGATTATTTTCTACCTCTTGTTTTTTATTTATCATTATAAATAGATGTTTTTGCATCAAATTCATAATCTATTCTATCAAATTTCTTTTTCTTCATTTTATCTGTACCATGTAACATAGAATTTAATTTTGGTTATCCTTTATGTTTAAATTATGCTGGTTTTAATTCTTGTTAAATTGAACATTTAGTTTTTCCTGTATAAGGACAACAAAATTCTTAATTACAATTTGTTGGTTATGATTGTAATAAAAAATAAAAACAATGATATCTATATTTCATTGAAATTGGTAAACTTTTATGGTTTTATTTATTTTAAACACAATCTAAACATAAATATTCTTCATTATCATGATAAAAATATAAGAATATTTCATGTTCACATTTTGAACATAATTAAACTTCTTTACAACATTCAACTAATTATGATGAAGGTGGATCTATTATATGTAATTTTCTATTTTCTTAATCAAAAAAATTTTAAAGTTCTAATTAAATTCTTTCTATTGTAGTTTAAGATAAAGATTTTTCATGAATATATAAATCTAACATTAAATTTTTATATGGAATAACCGTTCTATAATTAATTTCTTTATTTAATTTATGTCTTTCACTCATGGCTTCCAAAGTCATATCATCTAAAGCAACCTAATTCCAAGCTGTATTTATTGTTTATCCTAAAGATTTTACCCAATGCAAACAACCTGCTCCTAATATTACAACATCACCTTTCTTTTATAATGTGTATCTAAATGGTATTCCATTTTTTAAAAAGAATTCTGGTTCTTTAAACCATAATCCTTCATTTTTAAATATATCTGTATCATATAATTCTATAACTTTTTATCTTAATCTTTATACATGTTCATTATCTACTGTAATCCAAACACAATCTGCAGGACCATGATTAATATTAATAGCATTAACACTTAAATTTTCTTAATGTCCACCAGTCCATACACCATCTGTCTTAATATATATTTAAGGTATATTGACACCATCAATTTCCTATCTTAAATAACTTAATCCATCATTATCACCTTATGGTCTTAAACACTTAGGTAAGAATTATTTCAAATGATTTATTTCCTTATCCCAACCTTACATATTCACATTTACAGCAAATAATCTTTAATCTGCTTAAAGTCCTTCTTTTCTTATAAATTTTGATGGATCATTAAGATAATCTATATAATCCATAATCTTCATTCCTTCTAATTATTAATTAATTTTGCATGGTAAAAATGAATCATATCCAGGCTATTAAACTCTAATATCAGTGTTTTAATTTCCATGATTTTATTTAAGAGCTTCGAAATTGAAAAATACATTTATCATTTCTAAAGCTTTTAGATCTATTGTAAGAATACTTATTTGATGTTTTAACCAAGACAAAGATTTCTCTTCATAGATTTTTAACATTTCACTATAATTATAATAATAAGGTTTTCCAATACAAGAACCATCAACCATTGATTTGTATTCATATACAATTACTTTACTTTAATAAAAGCTAACCCAATCATCCTCTTTTAAATAAGCAGGCAATTCTCTTTGACAATAAACCTATTTATTAAATTATACAACATACTTTTACAAAACCTCCATCCCTAATAACTTAATCATATACTTATTATCCATTAGCATATAGTAAGTTTCTCTCTTGTAAAGATAGAGGCAGATTATCCAATAAATATTTTTGCATTCTAAAATTTATCCTTACGAAATTAAATTAAATGTAATAATTATTTAAAATATTTTAAATTAATAAAATTACATACTTATCTCTTCCTTATAATAATTTACTCATAATATAAATTGTTTTTTTTTAATCAAAATGCTTATAAAATTATATTATATCTTTGAATCATCTTTAAATTGATCTCATAAACTCTGATAATTATTTAGAATGTAAAATTGTGTTAATCAATTATGAACTTTCATAATACATTTTATCAAATATAGACAATCTATCTATTTACATTATTAAGAAATAAGTGATATAAAAAAAAAACTTAGATTATTAGATATGTATTAAATAAGATTTAAAAAGATATAATTTTAATTGATTTTCAGTTTTTGTATTTATTAAAAAGAAAGAAGAATAAAGAACAAAAAATATATTAACTTATTCATATTATACAAATAATAAAATAACCAAAAATAATTCTTAAGTGTATAAGGATACTTAAATAATCAAAAGCTATATTTAATTATTAAAAATTTTTTGAGTAGTTTTATATAATAATCATAAATTGCATATAATTATTAATGATAATTATATATATATTTTAATTTTTATAACTAAAATACCAGTAATTAAAATAAAAAATTATTAATTCCAGGTAGTATTTTATTTAATATTGTATAACTTTATACTATCAAAAATTGATTTACATAAAATTGACTCTAATTCTCAAATATTAATTAATTTAAAATTACAGTTCAATCAATCTTTATACTATTTCTAATAAATTTAAAAAGTTACTTCAATTTTATTAATCACACATTTATTTTGTAGATCAAATACAAATCATTAGACAAATATCATTAAATAATATGAAATATATAAACAAAATAGATATTACACAAAACTATTCACAAATACAGATGTCATGCTTTATAATCTGAATTTAATCTAAATCTCACTTTTTTTATACCATCCTATAATTTGAAAGTATAATCTGATAAATCATCAAATTAATGATTTATTGATTATAGACTCTTAACTTGAATATTTGCTGACCCATTTTTTTGTTTTTTATAGAATGCTTCCATTGAGTTCAGTGATCTGACATATGCTTCTTTACTTATTAATGTGCTTGTATGCAATAAAGTTTTAGTCAATTCCTTTGTAGTAGCAATAGAACCAACAAAACTTAATTATTTCTAAAATATCTGGGATTGGTTTTTCAATCTAACATCTTCTTTAGTTTTTGGGATCCAAGTAAGAAGTTTCCCATATTTTATATATAAAACATCATTTTCCTCACTATCAACCATTATATTATTAATTGAAGAATCCATTTAGAGATTTCAATAAAATTCTGTTTTTTTAGGTGAAAAATTATTTATTAAGTGAAAATAAAACATAAAATTTATTAATAATTTCAGTAATTAAAATTCAGTATGATATTTAGAAAATAATAGAATTTTTAAATATGATTATGTATATAAAGTTAATGATTTAACATTTATATTCTTAATCACATATAATTATTGATCAATATTCACAGGTTTTTTATTAAACATAAAAAATGAATAAATTCTAAAGATTTAGACTTTATTCAATCTGGTTCTGTTAATAATTAAATTATTTATAGTAAATTTTGTTGCTTTACCTTTTTTGATGGTATGTGTAATAATTTAAATAATTTTTATTAAGAAACTTTTTTTATTTAAATAAGAATTTTATAATACAAATAAAGACTTTCTTATTAATACAATTTGTTTATAATTAGAGTTATAATCTTAGAATAAAAATGATATATAAAATTGAGATCATCTAAATGAATATATATATTAAATTGTAAAGATTCAACTGTCTATAATAATTTTAGACTATATTAAATATAAATATAAATATTAATAATTTTAGAATGAATAGTAATAGTTTATAAGATATAAAGTAATAATAATAATTCAAATTTAAATCACTTTTCAAATTCCTCAATTAATTCAGAGACTATATTTATTAAAGTTGTTTATTTTATTTAATATGCTTATACTAATATTCTTATTAAAATGGCAAAATCAGTTTCATCAAAAATACGATTTTATATTGCTAATTGCCGAATCCATTTTTTAATAGGATATTAAGGTCCTTATAAAGTTTTAATACATGTATCCCAATCTACTTTAGTTTTTGTGCTTTCTGGTATAAATTTACTTAATTCTATATTTGGCGGAGGTAGAAGTTTTGTATAAAGCATCTTTTCTTATGTTGACTTTGATTTGATATTATTTAATTTATTTTAAAGAGAACTTATATTAGTTGGAGATGGTAATCTTCTGAAAAAATATGATGGTTCTTTTTTATTTCTATCTGTTAAACATTCTTTAATAGTTTATAACTTCTTTTTATGTATTTCCATATGAAAATCATGTATATAAGGTATTTTTGAATTTTCATTCTTTTTGTCAAATTAATTTCTAAGATCTAAATTGAATTGTCTATCTTTGATTTATTGTAAACATAATCTATGTCCCCATAATTATGATATGATGATCTATCGACCTCCCACATTTCTAGTGTCGGGAGTGAATTGCATACGTTAATAAATATTATTAATAAATAATGTCTAATTTTTTATTCATATTTATATTGTCATAATAATCTCAATTATATTCATGATTTGTACATTAATAAGGTCTTTTCGATTAGCTAATATATTCTTTAGCCAAATTCAGAGGATCTTATTGCTGTGATCAGATATTAATCTTATCTCAAAATGTCTATCAAAGGTTACAAAATATTCTGATTTGACATAATGATCATTTTCTTGATAACATAATTTCCAAATGGATTGATAGATAAATTCACAAATGTTACTCTATATAAATAAATATATAATAATACAATCCATTAATTTAGGAAAAAGAAATAAGTATAGAGATGATACGCTATTTTACTTCATTTGTAGAGGCTTCCACAACCTTTTCAACAGTATTACTTGCATATTTATTCATACATAATATCTCAAAATGTTAAAGTACAAAATTGACAACAAATGGTTAATAATGTGTATTTTTAATGGCAAATTGTAAGATGTGATTTCCGAATTCTTATTAACATAGATTTTATTGATGTTATAAACATGTAGTCATTATCTTATCAGTTTAAATTGGAGAAAACAATTCAAGAGCTTTCAACAATATTTTACATCCATATTAAGATGAACATAAAAATAAAGTTGAATCTTCAATTGGTTATAAGAAAAACTCTATTTTTTCTTTTTTCAATACTTCCAAACATTTGAGAATTACATAATTACCACTTGAATCATAAAGTAATGATTTAACTTAAAGTCTAATTGAATCAATAAATTAGTCTTATAAATTCTCATTATTAGATATGATTTCAATTATCTTTTAAATAACTCTACATCCAAAATTATTTTTAGATAATTCATAAGCATGAGGTCTAATTTTATTAAATAATCTTAATTATTGAATTGGAGTACCTATATTATAGAATATATTAATACCTTTTTCAAATATTTTTTACATCACATAATTACCAAATACATCTTTTGAAAATTAAACACAAGATCTCTCAAGTTTATTAAAAATCAATTCTCTTTGATCTGGTCTTCCATGTTCAATTATTTTTTAAACTTTTCTTGATAACATTTAATTACCACACATATTGTCCTAATTAAATTAAACATAAAATCTTACTAGATCATTTGTCAATTAGATATCATCATTTATATCATGTAATGGTTATCTTTCTTATTAATATCCAGTAAAACCTAATCCATTCAATGGTTATTAATAATTAAATCCAGGTTAATAAATTCCATTAGGTCTTAATACTCCTGGAGAATATGGGACTTAATAGTCAACCTATCTATTATGATGTTTATTTAAGTATCCAAAGTGTTCATTTCCATTTTTTCTGTAATTGATAGAACTTTCTTATGTTGAAAATGAATGACCATCAAAACTTATTGATACACTCTATCTATCATCTTATCTTGAAAATTTGTAATTATTTTAAGGATACTAAGAATAGACAGCTTTATTAGACATTGGACTATAGGCTTAATCAGATCCTAAAGACATCTGCTCAAACGATCTGTTAAAACTATCAAAATAATGTTTTTCTGAAGTAGAAACCTATTTTATAAGGATTCAAAACTTACATTCTCAATAATGCTATCACTTTTAAACCCTTATTTACATAAAGGACTATTGTTATTAGAAAAAACTTCTTCTTAATCATCATCTAAGTTAACTAAAATATTACTTCTTAGAATAGATCCTAACAAATCATCCTCTGCTTCATATTCTTTAGTTGACATATTTAATTGTTTGATATAAATATTACTTAAATTTTATGAAATTCAAGAAAAATATAAATACGCAAATTTAATAATTTATTTCTTCATTTCTAATTAAGAATTATTAATTTGAGCCTCTTTTACAATATTATCTATTTATACTCTTATTATCATATATAATTTCTAATTTAAAGTATTCAAACTTAATATTATCAAGATAATCTAAAAATATTAAACTTTTATTACACTTATTTAACACATTTTTATATAATACAAAAAGTATATGAATTAATTATGCATTCAAACTACTTCAAATATAGTTCATTATTTGTATGATATATTTAAATGTTGATTATATAAACTAATTAGGAATATAAAAAAAATTAATTGTTTTTATTATGTAACCATATTTCTTTCAGGGTGACCAATAATTTGCATATCAACTAGATTCAGATATTCAAAGTAAAGAATTTAGAAATTTCTAAAGAATACATTCCATATTAGAATCATAATGAATATGCTTATCTGTCCTAGTTCTCTTATCCTCATTCATTTCCTGGATACTCTATTGATTGCTTTCCTGATAATGAAGTCATACAATAACATAAATACAAAAAAAATAAGAAGATTAAGTAAATATTCAATCATTATATTAAGAAATACTGATTCTCTAGGATTACTTCCAAAAACTCTTGAATTCGCAAAACAACAGATCCAAGAATCTGCTCCTCCTTCTCAAATTTAAAAAGATCAAATGTACTATATAGTATTACTAATACATAGTCCCAAATAACTTACTCCTTATTCTATTTTTAATTGTTTATAAGGAGCTCCAATGCCTAAATTATAATCTGACATCATTTCAAATTAAGAACCTTAAGGATCTTAAGAAGGATCCTAATAAACTTAAAAATAAAAAGGATAAAATCAATTGACTAAGAAACCAAAAAAAGAACACATTAACACTGGACATTGGTCTACAGAAGAACATACAACTTACATAGGCTTTCTCTAATAATATGAAAGTATTATGACTTCTTCTATGATGAAAAAAACCTCTAAAATATTCAAATAAATGAGTGAACTTATTGGAACGAGAACTCCTAGTCAATGTAGAAGTCATCATTAAAAATTTAATCCTTATGCTTTGAGGGGAGAAAATGGAAAGCGTTTACCTAGAAGTGAAAGAAGTAGAGCTGGAAGAAAGAAGAAGAATCCATCTTGTGATATTCCAAAGGCAGGTAAAATATAATTTATTAATATAATAGAGGAAGTCAATATTCAATAACATCATTTTGATTAAGAATAATTAATGATGATGTATGATAAACATTTACTTCATCATATACCTTATGAATAATGGAATCCATATTATGATATGCATTAACATATAAAAAAAGAAGATGATAAAGACTAAGATCAATAAAATAGTTAATAAATTCAAATATAAATAAATAATTAATAAGATTATGAAGAATTTGTTAGACTAAATTGTCGAGGGCATTAAATGAATATAGATTTCATAGAATGCCATAATTCTATTATCAATGAATATTGAAATAACTATGATTACCAAAATTGTATAATATATATATATATTATAATTAATTTTATTGATTTATCAATTAAAACTAAATTAAATAAGTTTGAAATTGTTGATTTATGAAGGAAAAAAATATATCAAACATACCAAAATTTAAAAAGAAAATACTGATGCAAATCATGGAGTTTTCTCTCTAATTTAGAATCTTATATGAAGATGATATCATTAAAATACCTCCACTTTTATTTTCAATTACTATAATTATGTCATACCTTTAAGAAATTAGTTTTCTCTTTGAAAATTATTATTTAACTGATAATGGATCCTTTAGTTTCATGAAGTGCCTAATCATCATATCTAAATTCACTCGACCTTACAAAATTCTAAATGACCACTTTTATAGATATTCATACCTTATACCATTAACAATTAATCTTATTTATTTTTCCTTAGTACTTAAACTATTTATTAATCACAAATAAGGAAAATCAAAATACTAAAAACTACTAGAGACATTTTATTAATAAAATAGACTTTTTATTATTTTAATGACAATATTGACTTATATATAAGCTTTACACTTTCACTTTATTTTTGTGAATTTTATAGAACTCAGTGTAGCTTCTATATCATATAATTCATAATTGAATAATATCAATGTAGGAAATCTAATTTTTGCCATAATTACACTGATTATTGTAATTTTAAATATGATTGCCTAAATGATATGTAATCTTGAACTGAATTAAATAACTAAATAAAACTTTAGTGTATTACAATAAAGTTTCAGTTTATATTGGTAATAGATGTCAATATTACTAGTGATTTTAATAAATTAATTAAATGCAGATAATGCAATTAAGTTTTATTTAATTTTTACTTTGTTAGCATTAAAACTTATATTTTGTATTTAATCATAATTATTGTATTTCATTTCATTATTTAAAAAAGCATATATTGAATTAATTGGTTTAACAGCACAATTAAATATTTTAATAATATTATTAATTTTGTAAATTCAATAAAATAATTTTGATAATAAAGATTCCATTTTATTTATTGTATCATATCCATTACTAATTCAAATTATATTGACAACATTTTAAGAATTTCATGAAAGAATTTTATTAAATAGAAAAAATACATTGAATGCTTATTAATAATAATATAAAATAGCTGAAATTTTCTTAAATTTTGGAGTAATTTACAACTCTTTTATAGAAAATAAGAAATATATGGCATTTATATATAATTTTTAAATGATTCACAAAGAAGCTTGTTAATCGAATCTATGTTGTTGTTAAACAAAAAATTTTAGTTTTGAATAAATTATTACATTATTTTTAAAGGAATAAATTTAATTATTTGGAGAAGAGATTAATTAAATTAAAGATAAAACTATTCGTTAAAGTATGTTTTTACGTTATTTATCCTATATTAATTATTTGGGTTTTAATACAAAAGCTTTTTAATAATCAAATGTTTAGGTTATTAATGAAAGTTAAATTAGGTATTATATTTAATAATCTTTAGTTCAAGATTAATTAACAATTAAAGAAGTGAAAGTAATAAAGTTGAATCCAGCCATAGTTTAGATTAGAAAAGCTATTCTCAATAAAGATAAAGGAATGATTTAGAAAATGATGAATTTACTAGAGTAAAAATTATGAATTTAAGCTTTATTAATTAAATTAAATTAAGAATGCTTTAAGATTCCATAAAAAAGTCTATGAGTAATGGTTTGAGGAAATAAAGTATTATGTAAGAAAATCTTGAACATGCAGTAAATTTATTTTTAATGTCAGAAACAGCAAACAAAAGATTAAAAGAAAAGATAATAACATCTTTAAATAGAAAAAGATAATATTTTAATAATATATTATTAAATACTGGATCTATATTTTAAAATTCTAAAAATTTACTTATTAAATTTAAAAAAATAGAAAATGAATTATTGAAATTATATGATTAATTCCCTAGCAGAAAAATGTAAGCTTTAAATACATTTTTATAAGCAGAATTAATGAACAATTATTTTTCAGCTTATAAATTAACAACTGTAGCATCTATATCAGATGAAAAATTACTTAAGATGTAATCATAAATATCTATTGATTTATTTTCTAGCAAATTAGATTATATAATTTTTGGTTTTGATAAAAAATCTCATTATTTATAAATTTAATCTACTTCAAATTTAATTCATTAATTTTTTGGATATACTCAAGAATAATTTAAGCAATTAAACTTTATTGAAGCTATATTACCATAAGGATTTGAATTGATTCATTAAAAATTAATTTAAAATTTTCTATAGAGTGGAGAATCCAAATTTTATAAATAAATTAATTTAAGTTTTTGTAGAACTACACATAAATGTATAAAACCTATAGATTTCTTTTTTGATATAAACTTATCAAATTTTGAAGATCTAACTTTTGTTACATTTCTTTAAGATACATAAGTATCACCTGCTTATATTTTATGTTGTGATAATAATAAAATTTAATGTATGACAAAAAATCTAGCATAAAAATTAGGTTATGAATAGAAATACAATTAAAATTTAATTGATCTATTATTTAAATAATAAATCAACAAAGTATTTCCAAGATTTCATAATATTTATGAATCATTCTTATCTAAAGCTTCTATTATTCAAAAAGATTAATATGATCAAATTAATTTTGAAGATAAATAAACTAATTATGATTAAAGTGATACTCAAATCTAAATGATTATTCCAAATCCTTTAATATTTGAAAAGAAATAAACTATGAATTGGGATTAAAATGATAATACAATTTAATTAACAGCAGATGTTGTTTTTCATTTAAGAAATGTCAAATAAGAATTATTTTCTTATTTAATTGTAGAAATAAGAGATACTAAAAAATTCATTTAAACAGAATTTTCAACACCTTTTTAAACTGAAGTACCTTTAAGTACTAATAATAATTTAGAATATCTTGCTTAATTAACAGATATGGATAATAATTTTGAAATAATAGAAGATTAAGAAAGTTTTTGTTTAAGTCCTCCAAAAGCTTTAGAAATATTAGAGAATTATGAAAAAGATTTAAATCATTTTGGATAGAGATTAAGAATTAATTAAAATATCAATAATTCTAATTCTTAAGTTATTTATCCTAATATTTCAATTGCTTTAGCAAGTCCTAAAGATAGTGCTTCAAGATTAATTGATGAAAAGTAGGATATCTCCTTATAATAAATGAATAATACTATTTCAAAAAAATAAAATAAAAATAAATAACAATACTTTTCAGCTTTAGATTAAAGAGAAGATTAAGAATCAAGTAATTTTATAAGTAGTATCATATAAAATAAATAAGGTGATCAAAATTAAGATTAATAATTAGATTAAATTGATAAGGATTTATAAGAAAACATTAAATAATAAATGTAAATTTTGAATTTAGTAAATAATCCAAGTATGATTAAATTAAATTAAGATAGTTCAGACACAAGTTCATTAGCAGGAATTAAGAAATCAAAATTTTCTAAAAGATATGATTTAATTTAAAAAATTACTAGTTCCAATAAATTTTCTCATAATTTCCTCAATATGAAATATATGCTAACTTTAATGTTTCTTAATTTCTTAGTATTTGGATCAATTGAAATGTTTTATGCTAATTCAGATTTACCTTAATTTTTAAAAGAGATCGATCTACTATAAATAAAAGCTAATATAATTGGACCAATAGACAATTATATTGTTGGATAAAATGCTGTCACTAATTATGCAACTTTATATTAAAGAAATTATTTAACAAAAGAATAAGCCTATTAAGAAGCCCTCTATGCAAATAATGAAATTAATTATACTTTTTATGAATTAAAGACAAGTTTTGAAAACTAACTATAAAATCCATATCTTGACCCTTTTTTTGAAGATAGATATGTCACAGTCAAAATGGCAGATTATCCAACAACAATAGAATATACTATAAGATTGAGAGAAGCAATTCAATTATAATTAGAGGCTTCATTAAATTTTATAAAGACTGATTTTTTATTTAATGAGAAAATTGACTATACTTAAGGATTCTTTACTTATTTATTCAAAAATTTTATGCCTTTGAGATAATTATGTTAGGAATTAAATGAAGAAATGTTAGATTATTCTACTAATAGGGCTACTTTAGTATCTAATAATTGGTATTAATTATTAATTCCAATTGTAATTATAGGAGGTGTACTTCTTATAGTTTGTATATTGTTTTATAAATTTTACTTATAACAATATGATTAATTTTTGGAATTGTTTTCATATTTAGATACAGTTTGGTTATAAAGAGATATAGATAGATATAGAGGTTATGCAAGTTTGTTAATGAAGGATTCAGATGTATTATTTAAATATTAATTTGATCTTGAAGTAAAGGAAGTTTTTTTGATTAATGAAGAAATGAAAAAGGATAGGATTGCATAAAATTAAGCATTTTAGAGAGACAAATAAAATTAATAAGGATTTGTTGGAGTTTAATAAAAGATGCAATAATTGCCTTCAATTTTTTCATTTGCTACAATATATGGGATATGTTTTGTGTTTTGTTTTATATCTAATTCATTAGCATAGAATTATTATACAAAATATCCTGAAACTACTAGATTTTTTAATCTTTTATCTGATTTAAGTATGGCCAGTAGTGGAACATTTTCAATGAGAGAAATTAGTTATACTATTTAAGCAGAAGTTACTTTAATGTATTTCTTTTCAGATAAAAATGCCAGTGATTTTATAAATGTATTCATGGATCATATTAACAAAATAGATAAGTTTTTAGAGGTATTTTAAAACTTTGATTCTTCAGGATATATAACATCTGATGAATTTGTAACTGATTTTTATAATTTAATGGTTGAAGATATTTGTGCTTTTTTACCAGATGTATAATTTATCTAATTTTTAGTATAAAATAGTGAGTGCTTAATAACATTGTGATTCTGCATTAGATGGTGTTATGCGTAGAGGAATGATAGAAACATTAAATAAAGTGAGAAATAATGCAATGAATGAATATGAATCAACCAATCATTTTTAAATTGAAATTATAGATTTAAAATCTGATTTAGAAATAGGATTAATAGCTTATGATGATTTAAATGATTTAAGAGATTAATTTTAAAATTAATTGACTGATACTACAAATTAATTAATTTCATAATTATCTGTAAATATTCATTTATATAAAAAAAGTTGATAAATATTTCATTTATTGTTATACTTTTAATCAGTATATTTACATTGTTAACATTAATTGAAAAATACTTTAGATGGGAGTTTAATATAGTAAAGAATTTTATAATTTTACTTCCATAAACTTCATTATTTTTAGATATTTAATTAGATAGAAATCTTAGATAGATGGTAGTTCAAGATGATTTAATATGATTTATTTATCATTCTTAAAATAAAGTTTTTAATTAAAATGATATTAAATAAAATGTATTTAATAATAAAATTGTATATTAAATATTTTTCTATTATCAAATTTAGAGTTAAATTTTCATATTTCATATCATAATTACCTATATAATATATTAGATGATATTAATTACTAATATAGAAATCTTTATTATAATTTATTATTCCTCTTCTATCTACATATTTAATGATATCTATGAATTATAACATTTAATTCATCTAAACTATTTTATATATTATTTTTAATATATAAATGTCACAAAAAATCAAAATTTTATCAACATCAACTTAGCAACCAAGCAATGATGAAAAAAATGATTTCTGTAGTGTATTTTTGGGATTTGATTCAAAAGACTAGAAAAATGCTAGTATCCTTAATTAAGAAGATGCGGAAAATGATTTTCATCAATTTTTAGAGCATCCGAACACTTCAAAGTCTTAGAAGGATGATAAAAATTATAGAGATCTAGTTTTGAATCAACTTTAAGGTTAAGATGGTTCAACTCAATTTAAGCAAAATCTTTTAGAAAATTAAAGTAATCAAAATTCTGGAGCAATAGCTTTAGAAGATAATTACAATCAATATTCTAATAATTTAAATGAATATATTACTCATTATAATTGTCAAAAATCTAATTAGATATCATAAAATTTTAATAATAATCCTGATGCTTATTATGAAGATTATGGAGGTGTTTAAAACATATAAGAATTTAAAGATCCAATTTATTATTAAGATAATGAGAATAAAGAATTAAATATATATGAAAGATATTATAGAGATGAAAAGTGTCCTTATTTGTAACCAATTCAAGTAAAATAATTGGATTAAGATGGAGTAAAATTTTATTTCTATCTAGATGATTTATAATTAATAAAATATTTAATGGAATTAAGATGAAGGAGAACCTTATATTTAATAATAAAATGATGAAATTATAAACTAAGATGATGGATAAATTAAAAAGAAAAAAAATAAAAGAGGAAATCGAAAGAATAAGAATAAAAAAAGGGAATCTAACAATGAATAAGAGGATGAATAGCAAATTAATCATGAGTAACAATTATAGTAAAAAGTTATTCAGGATAATAATACAGAAAATACCAATTAATTTGATAATGGAAATATAGAAGAGCTTGATGATGCTGTTAGTGATGAATTTAAAATAAAAATTACTAATTTTATAGAATAAAATAATAATACTAAAATTAGTTTGACTAAAACAATTTATGGGAATCAGAAATAGTCTATTAAAATAATTGAAATAATAGATTACGAAAATCAAATTTAAAAGTTATGTAAATAATTTTCTAATCTAAAATATTCTGAAATTGCATTATCATTATAATTGATAGTTAATTTTGAAAATTGTTAATAATTTTTATAAACTCTTAAACCTAAAGAAGAAAAACTTATATTAAGAGAAATAAATTAATTAATAATAGATGAATAAAAAGCTATTGAAAGCAAAAACAAAGATGAATTAACAAAATCTCAATATAAAATAGAAGAATTTAAAAAAGTTAATTAAATTCAAAATATTGAAGGATAATCATTATATTAAACAGCAATAAAAATAATAGAATAAAAGAATTTTAAATTTGATATTAAAAAAGTATTATTTTATCTATTTTGATAGTGTGATTAATAAACTAAATAATAAAAAAAGACTGATTTTGAATTAAATCGAAATTAAGTTATTGCTATAAATAATCAAAAAGCTAAAGTAATAAAATAATATTAAAGTAAGAATATATAATAAATTTTAAAGCTTGTAATATAAATGAAAATTAATGTAATTAACAATTACAATAAATAAGATTGGAAAAGAAAAAATTAGAGAAAATAGGTAGAGATTTATTTCTTGATTTAATGGTTATTGATGATAATGGATTTTGTAGAATTGATTTTCATAAGTTCTTTTCTGCTGAAATTGAAAATATACTTGATGGAGTATTTGAGAAAATTGAATCATATAAACTTTGCAATTAATAAAAATAAATAAAATTGCTAATAATAGTAGGGAAAGGTATAAAATTTTATACAAATTTATAGGTTTACATTCAATAAATTAAAAACCTATCATAGGTCCAATTACAAAATAATATATATAGTAGTACCTTAAACAATAAGTGGAAATAATAGAAGGGAAAATAGATGTTATCATTTGAATCTTAAATCTTTTATAAAAATATATATATATTATCAGTATTTATAAGAATAAAATAGTATGTCTAATCTTTAATATTCTATTAGTTTGATTAACTCCAATCATAAAGTAAAGTAATTTTGAGAATAATTTAATAATAAATTATGATTGAACTTTTTTTAAGACTTTTGTTACACTCTCTTTCCTATTGGACGATTTACATAATCATTATAAACCTTTGTTCTATATATGAATCAAAATTATCACTATTAGAGTTCTCGACTCCTACTACTTATGAACTAATTTATTTAAGTTTTAGTACAATATTAACAATAAAATGGTATTTAATTAAATTTTTGTTCAACTTACTTTTTTATTTGATATCAATATTTTTGGTCATTGTCTAGCACTTTTTAACATATATTCCATCTATAATTTCAGAATTAAATACATGGTTTTTAATTATTAGCACTGTATGTATAATTATCATTCTGATTACTAATTGTAAATTTGGAGATTATGAGGATAAATATCAACAGGTCTAATATGAAAATTATTAAGTAAATCATAAGTTTCCAGAGAATAATTTTTAAAATTATTACTTTGCATAAAATAATGATTTATATAAAACAAGAGGAAATTTGTATTCAAAATAGTAGACTAAAAGTTATTCATAAAATAAAAGATAATAATCTTAAAATACATAAATTGAAAAAGAGGAAAGGAAAAAATTAATTTAAAAATTAAATGAAAATAGAGTAGAGATGAAACTATTATAATAAAATAAAGGAGAGATCTTTTAATAAAAAAAGGAGAAAGAAATAAAAAGATTTGTAATTAAAGATGCTTTATAAATTTGTATCTAAAAAATAGAAATCCTTTAAGAGGAGGGTAAGGAACTATTTCTTAAACTTATAAATATTTAAGATGGTATTTGCAGAGTAGATTTTCACAATTTTTATAAAGTTGAAATAAAAGCTCTTTTGGATGGATTACTTGAGCAAATTCGATTATATAAAGATAGATTGGGTTATAAATATGTTAAACTTAAAATAATTGTTGGGAAAGGTAAATTATATCTATATATTGTAGGTAATCATTCGAAAAATGGTATACCTGTTATTGGACCATAGACTTAAGAATATCTTAAAGAATACTTATAGGAGGAAGTAGAAATAAAAAATGGGTTTATAGAGGTATAAGTTTGAAAAATATAATTATAATTAATTATTAAATTTAATAATAAATGTGCATACCTTTTTAATCTATTCCACCACCTACATAAGGAACAAAAAAAGCAGTTTAAATGTTATAAATTTTAGGAGTAAGTTAATTTGTGGTTGGGTTGATTAAATTATTCGTTTTAAATTAAAGTTCAGGATTTTATGATTTCTTTACTATATTCATACTATATATGGCATGGGCATAATTAAATTATTGTAATTGTGTGATTGCTGTATTTTACTTTTTATAAAATGTATTTAAATTTTACTTATGTAGTTATTGATGATTTTTATATTTTTTGGTATGAATATTGAATTGAGAGATTTATTCTTTTATCCAACAAAATCTGGAGTAACAAATTTTATTTTGTTTTTCTATTATATTGGAGCATGTTATGTGGCATTTTTGGCTTATAGAGAGTTCAAAATATTATAATATGATTAAATGGGAGGATTGATTTAAACAAATCAATAGAATGATTGGGCATAAAATGCTAATGAATAATAGTAATAATACTAATAATAACCATACTACAATTAACCAGCTTAACCTTAATAATAAGAGTAGAGAGGGTAGTTTTAAGCATTTACAGGAAGAGGAGTACAAATAGGTTGAAATATATAGTTGGAATAAATAAATAGCTATATATAAATATATACATATTAATTATTCTCATTTACATGTGAGATGGACAAAATTATATTCATTTTGAGTTTCTTCTTATTCTTATTCATCAGTTCTCATTCTTGAAGATGTTGAATTAAAGAAGTAGCTATTTTAGTATTATTTTTTAATTAAATATTTTTTTTTACTTTATTATTACATTTACATTTCTATTTATGTTTTGATGAATTTTTATTTTCTGGTTGTAGATATTTCAGTATCAATTCTAGGTAATGGTTTAGCTGGTTTAGGTTTTTCACTAGTTCCTATTTCCAAAAAATCTAGATTAATATTTTTTTCAATTTCTTTCTTTGCTTCAGTTAAATCATTAAAGTTTTTTTCATAAGATAATAATTATTTCATAAAATTTTTATTTTTTTATTCTGATAATTATATCCATTATTATTTAATTTAAGGTATTTTATCTAGAATAGCTTCAAAATGTTCTACTTTTAATTAATATAATTCAGATTAATCAGTATTTGAATAAACTGAATGTGTTCTAGTAATTTAATTTTACATTAATAATTCCATTTCTCCAAACATTTAACCACTTGTTATATATTTTATTGTTACTAATTTCTTCATTTATTTATAATAATTATTTCCAAATTTTCTCTTTTGATATTTTGCTTCAAATATTTCTGATAATGTTTTTTATTTATGATTCATTCCTAATAAAATCTTCTCAAAATCTCCCATAAACATTTCATTCAAATCTATTGTTGAAGTTAATACTGTTTTCACTATTTTAAATTCACCCTTCTTTATAATATATACATAATCTAATGAACCTCCTTCTTTATATACACAAGCATTCATTGAATATTTCTTTATAAATGCTTTATCATAAAATGCTTTTATATCTTGAAATTTCCAATTATGAAACAAATCTAAATTTGCAAATTCTTCAAAATATGTCTTTTTCATCAAATGTTTAACATTATTTAAAATTGTTAAATAACTATCTCTCTCTAAATAAGCTAAATGACTATTCTCTAAAGTTCTACAAGATGCAGTTCTTGTTGCTTCCATATCCATTCCTCTTTCTCCAAAAGTATCACCATTAGATAGTTATTTTATTTCATGATCATATATCGATGCTTATAAATCATTTGGATTAAAGTCTTTCAAAACCTATACTCTTCCACTTATTATTATATAAAATTTATCTCCAATATCTCCTTCCTTAAATACAAAATGTCCTGCTGGCAAATATTTATATTTTAATGATTTGCAACATTATTCATGCAATAAATCTGAGTCTAAGTTATTAAAAAATTCAATTGATCTAGTTGCTGATCTTAACATAAACACATCAGTTGAAGTTCTAATCTCACAAGGCTTTTATAAAACATAAACCATGACATCAATCAGATCTTTATTACTCAATTTATAATATAATTTTTACTTTGATCCTGTTAAACTTTATCTAATATCAAACTTTTATAAAACAGTAGAAGCTCTTCTAACTTAATCTGCATTAAATATTAATCTTCTCATATTATAATCTCTTGTTTCTATTTTTATTATTATTTCAAAATAAATACAAAAGACTAATTTGTAAATTATTCAAAACATACTTGATTTAATATCAAAATATTTATCACTTTATCATTTACAATAAATTTAATCAAATTACTATAATAATATTACTCCATTTTTTTTTATTAAATTATTACACTCATTTTTTTCATTATCTAATTAAATAAATATAATAAGCTAGATATTATTTATAAATTTAAATGAAAAAAATTATGATTATTTTTTTTTAAATACTTAATAAGATTAAATCATTTTATTTTATTTAAAATTACAGCATTCGTTGGACTAAGTTAATGGTTAAAATGTATTTCCCATGAAACTTCCACATTTTTATTTATCATTATTTAATATCTTTTTAAAATTTAACCTAATATGATTTTAGCTTCCAATAAAGCCATCTAAGATCCAATACAATTTCTAGGACCTGCTGAAAAAGGCATATAAATAAAATTATTATCTTCTTTGATTGGTTTATCCTACAACCATCTAGTGTAATCAAATTATCCAGCATTATCAAAATGTTTTTCTGATTAATTTTATAAAAAATAATCAATACATACTAACCATCCTTATTAAATAAATTGATATATATATTACCTTTCTTAATTTTTAAATCCTTTAATTTATGATCTTATGTAGCCACTCTTATAATAGGTCTCATAGCAGGATTCTTTAATCTCAAGACTTCATTAATAAATGCTGAAAGTTTCTTTAAATTATTAATTTCATTTTCATTTATATAAGATGAAGGACAAGATTCATTTATTTCTCTTCTTATCTCTTCTTAAGCCTATGGATAACAAGCCAAAAAATAGAGACAATGATATAATAATACTGCCGTTGTGTCAGTTCCAGCAAATTATAATGTGATGAATTCCTAAATAATTTAATCTAATGTAGTTTCTTATTATTTTTTATTTTTTATTTTAAGATATTCATTCACCAATATATTTAAAAAGTTTTCATTATTATTAATCTATGAATTATTTGAATCTTCAAAATACTTTATTCTTTATTATACTAAATTTTCAACTATTGATCTCATGTCTTTCACTCTTTATAATAATTTCTTTTCTTCTTTTGTTGGGAAAATCTTCCATGCTTTTGTACCAAAAATGAGTCTTTTTGTAGATTAAATTTATGATTTAAATCTCATATATCCCATTTCATTCATTATATTAGCAATTTCTACTTATAATTCTGTATTGTTTATATAAATTTGATCTGTTTGAATTCCAAAAAAACTCTTTATTACAATTAGACCAGTGATAGACTACAAGGATGATAAAACATTTTCATTTGAAAAATTGTCTATCTTACTTTAAGTAATTTCATTTATCATAGGTACTTTTTTCTTTAGAGAATCAAATTCAAAAGAACTTGATAATAGTAGTCTTTATTTTTTCCATTATTCACCTTTTGACCATACAAGTCCTTTAGATAATAAATCACTAATATTTCATAAAATAATTTACTTATGACAAACAGGATCCACTTTCTAATATAATTAATGATTTATAAGAGCCTCTTTTTAATATAAAGGATCAGCAATAGAAATTCTTATAATCCAAAGCATATTGGTCATAAAAAATTTATATTGATATTTATTGTAGGCTGTTTTCTACTTATTAAAAATATCTCTTTCATTTTTGCTTTCCTTTGTTTCTTTTAATTAATCATATATTTCCTTTCCAAAAAAATTGAAAGAAATCTTACAATCTTTACCGAATTGAAGTTTTAATCTGATCATCTCTGTTAATGGTTTGATAACAAATAGATAGGAGATCAATCCTAAAACTGCATATAAAACATAAATTATCATTATTAATACCATACAAATGAAAATAAATAGGTTAATAAAAATTTTATACTTAAAAAATTCTAAAAAGATAGAAGTTTTTATTATTAGATTGCTATTTAGGATAATAATATTCAAAATTACACTAATAAGTTATTAAGTGTTTAATTATCTATATAAATAAATTAAATCTTTAATAAAGAAATTACATATTGAGAATTAAAGAAAATAAAAAAATTGAATGGTTCATTTAGATTACTTTTATTAAGATTTAACCTAAATTAAAAAAAATCTTATAGACTTTCATAAAATTTATCATAGTTTAATTCATAAAATAATTCTAATATATATGAGTTTTTTAACAAATATTCTTTAAAAAATCAAGAACAATTTTTAGAATACAAATAAAGACAAAGAAAAAGGAAATCATTTATCGTAATAATAAAATTAATATAATATTAAGGATCATTATTATATATATTTTTAGAATTTATTTATTTAGACCATTCAAAGTGTTTTAGATTATTAAATTGATTGAAGAGCATTTTCAGCCATTTCATACTATTAATTTAACTGATATAAGTCTTAATTTTCTTTTTATTGTTTTTTGATCATTTTTTAATATTTTAGAATTTCTTTTTTATTTATTTCAACTTCTAAATGATTAGGGCCATATTTAGAATCTAATCTAGATTATAATTTTTTCTTTAGATTATCTATTTCTAATTATTATTATGAAATTCGCTATTCGTATTGATCAAATTATTTTTATTCAAAAAATTAGGATATTTTTAATTCAAATTCTTTGATCATATCATCAATCACATCTGGTTAATTTTAATTAAACACTATAAGAGCAGATGTTTGTTAATTCTATTGATTCATATCAATTGTTTATGTAAAATTATCTGTACATATTTTTTGCTTTTTTAATGGTTTAGGTGTGTTTTATTATGGAAATATTAATTCTAAAAATTT